AAAATTTTCGGATGACTCCAAAGTGTTTGAGCACATTTTTGTGCAATGAAAAACAAATGAATCACATGGTTCTCTGAAAAATACCATGGCCTTGTTGACATGACCTCCTCCCTGGAATTCAATGATGCCGTATGCGTCAGTGGGCGTGGCTTGTGTGTGCTTAGCAACCGACCATTTCTCTTGTGGAGGCTCGGTCTGCACCCCCTGGCCTTCCTCTGCGCTCTTATTGGTGGAGCCAAGAAGAATAGCCACATGTTGGTTTACCAGCTGACCGCAACAACACCTACAATAGTTATCAAAAAGGAAAAAGTCAATATTAACCGTAAAAGCATACCTCATTAATTTCTACAAGTTTATATAACTTCTCTTGAGTGCCGAATGGACAAGCATGTTTATGGATTCAGAACTATCATGTTGCACTAAGTTTTTTGTTGTATTGTATTAATTGTATTAATAAGTTAGTCTAAAAGTACTTTGTAAATGAATAAATCATCCAGTTGATCTTTTCTCAAATTACAGAGATAAAAATTGTAGTTTCCATTTTCATATTAGCCTAGTTTTACTAATTTTGTTGTGCTTTTATCATTTTTATTAGTTTTCTGCTTTTTAAATATTTCTTAAATAATTCTGTTTGGCTTTCATTTCTTTTATTTAGCAATTTTAGCATTTCAACTTGGACTTATTTTGTTTCTATAAGCTGCCAATGCAATATTTCTAATTTTGTAAAATATTAAAATTTTCATTTAATGTTTGTATTTTATTTCAATTAACAAAAAATATTTTTAATAGTTTTGGTTGTAGTTTTAGTTAATTATAACAACACTGTTACTCACTTGCTGGGCTCTTTGCTGGGGAATATGTGAATGCACTCCCTTTTTAGAAATGACCTTTCAATCCATGCCCTCTGAAACTGCAAGACACAAAACAGGAGAATTTAGTTCACTCATTCACTGTCATTTCAAGTGGAATGTCAAAACATTTCCTAAATCTCTTTTGTAATGCATTACTTTAATTTCTCAGTAGCTACAAAAAAAGAACAAGCTGTTCTGCAGTTTATCTGTTTATCAAATTGTTTCTGACTAACAATGTGGAAAACAATGAAAACAGCACAAACTGTAAGAATAATTGTGATTATATATAGGTTATCTATATATACAGTGCACAAGTACGAATGTGTGTGCTCAGGGATTTCACAACAGCCGTAAAGCACTCTGGGTAAATGAAACCACTTTAGACATATTAAAATTATGAAAACAACTGAACCCTTCTAGGTCGTTTACTTTCTATTCATATATTTGTTAAGAATTTTACTTGCACTTGTATTTAAGACAATAATACATGACAATCAGTAATATAAAACAATCAGCTTAATGTTATTTGTGTAACACAAGAGTATTTACAGAAATACGCCTGACCTTCAATGCTCCAATAGCAAGCCAAACACATCACTAGAAAGGAAAATTCCTAAAAAAGCAAGAAATCCTGCTAGATTTAGGATCTAGCTTACAATAATCCACCAATAAATATCTGAGGTATATACCATCCTTAACATTATCTCTTGAGCTCAAACTGACTTGCTAGACAGGCACTTACCCTTGAAAATAAAGAGAAAGACAAAAGGCTTGCATAATGGCAGGCTTGTCATGAAGTCTTCCTCCAGCCTGCCTTCAACTGCCTGTGGTCTTCATTTATGGAGCAGAGGTCTGGACCACGTGTGCTGGACCTCAGTCTCAGAGTCCCATGACCACTGAAGATAATCCTGCTGGAACTCATGACCAATCCACC